AGACAGAAAGTAGATTAGTGTTTGTCAGGGGTTGTGGGGAGGGGAGAATGGGAAGTGACTTCTAATGGGTATGGGGTTTCTTTTTGGGATAATGAAAATGTTCAAAAATTAGGTAGTTGTGATGGTTGCACATTTTTGCAATTTACTAAAGGTCATTAAATTTTATACCTTAAAAGGGTGAATTTTATAGTATGTGAATTAAAGCTCAATGCAGCTGTCTTTAAAAAGATAATCTGTTAAGAGAATTTAAGACCTGTTTGAAAAAAAACCATGAAATCATAAGTTTGTGTTTTTATCTTAAGAATTAAAAAACATTCAGTAAATTGCCTAACTAGCTGGATTTGATAGGCTAAGACTAAAGATCTCTTTTCAGGATGCATTTTACTAAATTCTGGTCTCTTCCAAAAGTCTCACCTTCCTAATGGCTCTGACATCCAATTTAAAGAAGGCAAGACTTCTGAGATGGATTATAGAAATTATTTTTAATCTCTGTAGAAAAGTACATCGTGATTCTTATGTTTAATGGCTTGTGAACATTGCAAAATAGCACAGAGTCATAAAATATGGCTATTATGGGGATCAATGATAGTTCTCCAGTTTGTACATATTATTTATCATTTGTGATATAAAGCATGAATTGGCAAACTTTTTCTGTAAATGTTCAGACAATAAATATTTTCAAGTTTGCGACTACTCAACTGCCATTGTTGTGCAGGCAGCCATACATAATATAAAAACGAATGACCGTGTCTGTGTTCCAATAAAACTTTATTTATAAAAACAGTCTGTGGTCAGATTTGTTTGAGAGGCTGTAGTTTGCTACCCCTGATATAACAAACTCTTTAATTTTTTTCTTTTTCCTCACTCTTGGTCATTTATTCTCCAGATTTGTAAAAACTACAGTGAAATTTTTGTGATTGAGGGGGCATCTTGTCTCCCGATTGTAGTCATTTATAAATAAAATGTTTCTGGGAAATTTTCAAAGCTAAGCCTATAGCATGGAGCCCTGGTGGCACAGTGGTTAAGAGCCCAGCTGCTAACCAAAATGTCAGCAGTTCGAGTCCACCAGCCGCTCCTTGGAAACCCAATGGGGCAGTTCTACTCTGTCCTATAGAGTCACTAGGAGT